TTCACTTCATTCATTCATTGTAGTTCACAAAAGTTGTCTATGGTTCCGAAATCGTTGTCGTTGCAAATCAAACGAAACTTCGCATTCGAGAACCGGAGTAGACCTCCTGTCACTGCAATGCATTTTCCCGTCAAGTAGTACAAATTGTGTCACCTAGGCGCAACCTAGGCGTCATTACGTGCATGCACGCTACAAAATAAATGTGTAAACAAAAAAAGTACACTGCAAAGATGGCCACATCCTCCATAAAATTGTGCTAAAATTATATATGACGGTTAAAAAGTACTAAACAGATCACTTATCCATCGCTAAGTAATAAAAATTACATTAGGTATTCAATTTATGTTTTTGAACAACATATTTTATTAGTATTTATTTTTAATTTTCCCTTCTCACGGGTCTCATAAAAAGGGAAAAATTTAGTCGAAAAAACTCTCACTTGCTTGTAAATTAAAAATAAAATATTTTGATTATTTACTAGCTGTTGCCCGCGACTTCGTCCGCATAGAATTCTAGCAGAATTCATCAGAATCGATTCAGTGCCTAAGTGAGATATATTGTGAAATAAATTCATCGTAGTTTTAAAAAAATAAATAATTCTGCAGGGATTTTACCAGTACAGCACCCGTATCCGTAAGGTGTTAGTGATGAAAACTATTCTATCGACTATATTTGTACCGAATCTCTCCAAAATAAGTTTAGTGGTTAAGAGATAGAAAGTCTCGGAGCTTTAACGCATAGGTTCAGTTCCCGTGGGACTTCTGTGATAATAAAAACTATCATACATACGTCGTGTTCCAGGTCTAAAATCATCATTTTACCGAATGTAACTCAAAAAGATTCAACGATTCTAGATTCAATGGCTAAGAATATTTATACAAACTCTCATCACATTTTATCCCCTTAGGGGAGGAATTTACCAAAATCCTTTCTTAGGAAATGCCTACGTCATAGTAGCTTTATGCATGCAGTTTCACCAGGGTTGACCAGAGTTTTATACAAACTTTCATCCCCTATTTAGTTCCTTTGGGGGTAGAATTGATCAAAATCTATTCTTAGCCTCTTGTCAGGCGAAAGTTGCGGGTATAATGTGTTTTATGCCGGGAGCCGGTGTTTAACAGATACAAGATTATGGGGTGCCTGTGTCATAACATCTACTTGCATGCCGAATTTCATCCCGTTCAGTTTCAAACTGACAAAGTTGCATACAAACGTTCATCCCCTATTTCACCCCATGGGCTTTGGAAATAATCAAAATTCTTAGCGGATGCCTACGTCATAACATCCACCTGCATGCTAAATTTCAGCCCGATCCGTTCAGTGAGTCACCTTCAGTGAGTCACCTTTGAGTTACATATAATTATGTACATAGATTGCTCGTATCATTTCTGCTCCGAGTAAACCACAAGCCGCACGCACACACGCAAGAAATGTTGGAACGTCAGTGTTGTTACCATTGTATGGTGACGCTCTATCTAGACATGATCTAGACATAATATAATCAAAGCAAGATAATTAGCATAAACGTTTTTATAATGTATAATTATATTGCATCATTTTAACTACATAAGATAAGACCCGGCGGACTTCGTACCGCCCAACTGTCAATTAATGTCGTGTTACCTTTTAGCTGAACTAATTTAGGCTTTGATGAACAATGAACAACATGATGAACAACAAGTAATACAATGATACAATATAAATATAAACATAGATAGATATGAAATTGGTCCAGCCATTCTCAAGTTACGGCGTGACAACGGGAAATGGGTTTGCTTTTAAATAATAAAGCAACTGATCTTTTACGCAAAAGTAGCAAAACCCAAGGCAGTACTTACGTCGTCACAATTATTTCATCATCCATTGTTTTTAAATACAAATGATGTGTCGTCAGCAAATAATACTATCTACGGTCCATTCCAAAATAAATAGGGCAAATCATTTATTTATCATGCCAAAAACAAAAATAGACCTAGTATTGAGCCTTGCGGTCCACCCACATTATAGCACCATTCTGCTTGAATACCTGTGCATAGAGGGTTACCTATCTTATTCCTATTGAGGGGTGGTTCTTACATTATCCATATTCCTTATAAAATTACTGGAAATGAAAAGATTGCAAAGATAAGACTGTTCAACAATACGACATTTTAATTTTCAAACAGTCACGTCTTGTGTAAAGTTATCACTGTGATACAGGTGCATACTTTCATGTACGTAAGACTGAACTTATAACGTAGATAACCAAACAGGCTCAACAATATGCAGGCCCAAAGAAATATTATCTTTATTCTATTTATGTGTAGCCCAGTGTACAATATTGGCAATTGATTGTGAGTTCTGTGTAATCAGCTGTTATTACTTATGACAGTGTTTCAACTATCTCAAGCATACTGGTGTAGACGCCAGAGAAACAACAGAAGCCACCAAGCAGTATGATTATGATGTCCGACAACAGCTTGTAACTGCCAGGTCCGTACTTGTCGGGATATAGTACGCAGATGTCGAGCACGGCTGGGAACATGATCGCCGCCGTAGACAGGCACAGCGACCCCACCAGTCCAATGATCGGACCTAACGTGGGTGCCGCAACCGCCATTGCAACTGCAACAAGTCCTTATTACTTTAGTTTATCACTTGATGCGTGTTCGTATCAAAAATGTATGTCACAAAAACACAAAGACGGTGTAAATAATTTTTGTGTGGCAAGAGTGTAAATGGTATATCACAAATTTCAATAATTATTTTGGATTAAAACATTAGGTACTGAGTTATAAAAAAATAATAAACTGCGTTTAAAAAACTGACTTCATAAAACTAAAAACTAATAACAAACAAAAAGTAAAAACTAAAAAGCAAAAATGACTATTATTAGTACTGATAGGTTACCCACCCACTGATAGGTTAGGAAGTCGGCGCCATAAGTTCTAAACAAAATTATTCATTAGAACCTTAATAGATACCTAATTTACTATTTTGTGGCCATTAAGTTATATCATAGTAGTCTACAAGAATATTGGCAATAAAAATATGTATATCTAATAATAGCTCCCTGTACAATACCCAACGTGGTATGGTAACAAAAGTTAGAACATCGAGTCTTCAGAAAAAAATTAAAACATTTCACCGGTATGTTAATATTTACATCACATCATCATCATATCAGCTATTTACTTATTATTCATAATCACAACAAGCTATGGCTATGGCGGACCATAGGCCGACCACTGCTGAACATAGGCCTCGTCCAATTACTTCCAGATTGGAAGCGACTTGCATCCAGCAGCCCCCTGCGACCGTAACCAGTAGTATGTACATCTTGCGGATGGACGTCCTACGCTGCGCTTGCCGGTACGTGGCCTCCACTCGAGAACCTTTCTGCTCCAGCGGCCGTCGGTTCTCCACGCTATGTGCCCTGCCCACTGCCACTTCAACTTGCTAATCCGCTGGGCTACGTCAGCGACCTTTGTTCGTTTGTGGATTTCCTCATTTTTTATTCGGTCTCGCAAAGTCACTCGCGATCTATTAGGACACCTGATAGGTCATCACACGATCACTCACATCGTGAGATGAAAATCTATCGTTCTCAATAAAGACGCCGCTATAGAATTTAAACTTTTGACTAGGCCAAATTAAAGTCTATGAGATATGACAATATTCCATGATTTATCATTTCATAAAATATATGACACGCGCTGTCTAAAGTTACTGGTTCGAATGAAATAATTATTTTTGTACGGGATATTTGGATAATGGAATCCTATCCTTCCAATAATATACCTAACTGCGAAAGTTTTTGGGTTGTATGGATGTATGTTACTCTTTCACGAAAAACGAGTGGACGGATTGGTCCATTGATAGATAATAATCTGAAATACAACAGGAGTCATTAGAAACCGAGGAGTCGAATGATTGCGCCAAGGTTTGTATCAAAGTTCGACCTGTAACAGATTGTCAATTCTACTAGCAAAAACTATAATTTTTGTAATGTCATCTGGACTAATGGGTCAGTAACATTACGGATTGGTGATTTCAATGGTATATAATTACAAGTTATTTTTTTATATTTTTCTATCGCGATGGAAATCCTCATGGACTTCCCGCGTCGTGGGGACGACGAGGGGGCGTGCCGGACTCTTACCGGCTAAAACGACCGCGGTGTTCCTTCACTGCCTGTGACCGTGACCCGGGTGACCTTACGGAATCACCACACCCGGCAGGCCTCGACCTACCACGCGCGTGGAACACTACGCTAACGCCATATAATTGCAAGTTATAATCCCAGGTTTAACAAACTGGTTCAGTGGTTTAATAAAAAGTTTAAATTTATCCCCTGTGTGATGTTAAAGTTGACTAGTTATTTTGTACTGATTTATAACAATATTAATGAAATTAATTATGTACATGACATTTATAGCCTTACTCGTTAAATGAATTATAACAATTATCTCCATACAACACAATATGAATTACACAATTCGAGTAGTAGTTCCGGAGGTTAGCGCTTTTAAACAAACAAACAAACTTTCAGCTTTGTATAAAAAATACAATATAAGAGCACACACAGAATAAGACAGGATGGGTAATGGGTACTCACATGGGATGGAGGCACATAATATGCGAATTCCATAGTCCACCGTGGATGATGGGTACTTTTTTTGCATTATTGGCCAAAGGATTTGCCAAGCCACAAAGTTTTGTAGAGGATATGATGTCAGTATTGTTGCAGCGAACAGCAACTTAGCTGCGTGCGCCTTCCTACGGTGTAAACATTACGGTCAGTTTCATCTATTAAACAATAAGGACATCTAGTGGTCTAAATATGTTGTTGGAACATGGAATAGTTTTTCTAGTTCGACTCAAATAATTATGACATCCTATACAGGGTGACTCGTTGTTAGAGCAGAATCTTGTATTCTTTTAAGGGGGAAAATCATCGAATGCCTTCTCCCGCCTTTAGTTAGGCGAGAGGGAGGGCCAGACTCATTCTGACTAAAACCACCCTGTTCCTATTCCCACTCTTCGAGCTGGAGCACAAGCAATCCGTTAGACCTTCCGCGGCTCCATATAAGGCATCAGCCTTAGTGGGCCTCATCAGCAGTGGTTTGACAGGTCTTCAAAGCGCGCGCTGAGCGTAACCCGCCATTCCCACGGGTCTGGTTCTGTTTGGGAAGCTCGCTGCCCTAGCTCGCCGTCCGGAGACCCGCACTTACGGTGGCCAGAGATCGTTGCGCGATCTCTGAAGCCCGGAGTGTCTCCCATGCCAGCTGGGACGTGAGGAGGCTCGTTCCCTAACTCGCCCCGCTTCGCAGAAGGAGGAGACGGCATCCCGAACCTCTAAGCTAAATCATTTTAGTTTTCATCAAACTTTAAGTAACACCTAATAGAACAAATAAGAAGCTAGATGAAAAAAATGTATAGGAGCTACGTCATGCTTGATTGGGTTAAGGGTGGGTTGTGGAAATGGTCGTAGACTACATGTCGGAACGGTCATTAGTACGGGATTTCGATTTACTACAAAACGAAGGAATAACAACAAAATGAATAAAGATGGCGCGCTTCAAGAGTTAATTGTGACGTCATGTCCGCCTAAGAGTGGGGGAGATTGAGTGACTTTCAACATCGCACAACAGCAGACTCCGAACGAACAACGACGCA